ACGAATTCACAGCGAGATGGAAAAAACAAAATTCAAAAGAAAAAATGAATTGGAAAAAAAAAGCGAGAGAGATATCCAAAGTAGGTCGAATAAATAATCCTCTTCTTTTCCTCTTTCTTGCTCCTTCTTCTGCTTCTTCTGCTATAACACACAGAGCTAGTTAAAAAAACCCTGGAGATCGCCCAAAAATGTTCTTTTTTTAGTATTTTAAATAAGTGCTCTTCAGCCGGGAACCAGCACCCTCCCTCCAAGAAAAATCATATATGTATAAAATAACGATAAGAAGAATACGAAGGGGGTGTCTCCTCCTCCTCCTCCTCCTCCTCCTCCTTTTTTTTTTTTTTTTTTAAGTTTAGCCCTCTCTTCTACAGGAATGGAGTAAAAAAGACAAGAAGGAGGGAGAAAAAGAAGAGAGAGAGAAGAATACGGGGAAAACAACTAAGAGGATATGTAAGAAAAGAGAAAAAGGAGAGAAGAGAGCGAGGGAAAGAAGAGAGAGAGATTGAGAGACTGAGAAAGAGAGAGGCAGAAGAGGAGGAGAAGGAGGAGGAGGAGGAGGAGGAGGAGGAGGAGGAGGAGGAGGAGAGAGAGAGAGAGAGAGAGAGAGAGAGAGAGAGAGAGAGAGAGAGAGAGAAAGAGCGATCCCAAAATTGAATGCGTTTAATCGGGAGGACTCGCAGAGCAATGTTTCCGAAAGGGGGATCTGCGCGAATGTCTGTATATAGTGAACTTTGACACTACTATTGAAACTGACACGTTTCTATGGAGATCGCTGCCTTATATGGAGCTCGTGTCAAGGAGCCAGGAGAAGGGCTGCTGGCAACTGATAATCAAAGGAGACTGACTGGTCAGAGCCCTGAATGGGAGGGGGGGAGGAGGGAGGAGAAAATGGGAGGCTAAGGTTAGCCATGCCTCCTGCACGCCATTGGTTGGAGAGTCCCTCCCCCCTCCTCTTTCGCTCCCCCACCACTCAGCTACCCACTGACGGGGATGGGGAGGGGAGGAGGAGAGAAAGTGAGGGAGGGGGGTGTGCTTCTGACAAGCGCAATTTACATTGAGATCGCCCTGCTCTGCTATTTACTCTGAGACCTGATTAGTATGGGTCGTCTATGGTCACACTCACACACACACACACACACACACACTCACTCACACTCACACACATGCGAAAGCCAGAGGGGGGAAGGGATGGCGAGGGGGAGAATGCCTTCCTCGCAACGTGCAAATGAGAAGGAAATAACGTTGATTTCTTATGAAAAGTTTTTAAAATTAGGTTTCATGAGCTTGAAGAAGAGTGCCATCAAAAAATGTTAGGATTTTTTTTTATATGGGAATTTAACTCTCACCATTTTAATGACTCGTGAAATACACTGGGTTTTGATTGTTTTCTTCCTTCACATGTAAGCATAACCCAAGTGTGGACTGCGTTGATTTTATATCCTTTTAAGAAACGAGGCAGACAGAGACTCCTGTGTTCCTTTTTTTTTTTTTTTTTTTTTGGCTCCTGAGTTATAACTTGGTTTTAAAGGTTTAATTACGACAGGACACTCGTGGAATCTGCAGCTATTGCCACAAAATCAATCAGAATTCAACGGTTCCTATTGATCCCAGAGATGATTTTTTTTTTTAAAAAAAATAAACTTTCCAATCAATTTGATTTTTTTTCTTCTTTCTTTCTTTCTCCCCCTCCCCCCCCTCTGCTTTGGTGTCCCCAGGCTGTCCCAAACTCCAAACAACGCTTCAATAATTATTAAGAAAGCAGTAATAAGTCCTCATATTGTTGGGGGTGGGGTGGGGAGTTAGTGCGACTGAGTCAGAAAAAGAGAAAAGGAGCGAGAGAAAGACAGGGGGAGAAGATGGGAGAAGTGGGGGAGGGGGGGAGAGGGGATGGGAGAGAGTGGGAGAGAGGCGGGTGGGAGGAAGAGAGAAAGAGGGAGGGAGGAGGAGGAAAGGGGGAGAGAGGGAGAGAGGGAGGGAGGAAGGGAGGGAGGGAGAGCGAGAGAGAGAGAGAGGGAGGGAGAGGGAGAGAGGAGAGAGAGAGAGAGAGAGAGAGAGAGAGAGAGAGAGAGAGAGAGAGAGAGAGAGAGAGAGAGAGAGAGAGATCCCCGAAGGCGATTGGTCGCGGGAGGGGGGAGGAGGGGCGGCGCGGGCCGCGGGAATCGCTGGCTCGGGCTGCCACCTAGCGGACGGGAGCCGCGCCCGGAGCGCACAGCCGGGCCCTCCTTCCCCGCTCTCCGCAGGCAGCCCGAGCCTTTTCTCCAAAGGAAGACAACACTTTGAAAATTCTTTCAATGGATTTTTTTTTTTTACTTGAAAGACCGTACTAGGGGAAAACGGTACTTCTGTTAGTGACATAGTCTCCAATAGCACACTCGCACCCCCCTCGTTTTGGGATCGCTCCCCTAGGCAGGCTCCGGCGGGCGCGGAGCGGCGCCGTGACAAAGCCGCCGCCGCCGCCGCCGCCGCCGCCGCGGGTGGGAGCAGCGCCCGCCCGCCCGCCCCGCCGCTCCGGGGAGCGTGAAAGTTTGTCTCCGCTCCGGCACCCCGAGCCTCAGATAAAGGTGGGAGGAAATGGCCACGCTGTGTTGACAGAGGTAGGGTTTGTGTGTGTGTGTGTGTGTGTGTGTGTGTGTGTGTGTGTGTAAGTGTAATACTCGTTCTCCCTTTAAATTCCACCAGGGAGGGGTTTGGGAAGCGCTGCGCTTTGGGGTGCGCTTGGCGCTCCCCCCCGTCTCTCTCCCTTTAAGTGGGGAGTTGGCGGTGGCTTGGCGAGGAGCGACGGTTTTTAAAGAGCAGAATAAAGGCTTTCCTGTGCCGGCCCCGAGCCCCTCCGGCGCAGAGGACGGGAACGGCCCGCGTCCGCGGCGGCGAGCGGCGGCCCATTGTGCGCCGCGGATGGAGAGGAGGCGCCGCGGCCAGCGGGGGCTCCTGCCCTCGTCCCCCTCCCCACACAGACGCGCTCACGTCTGCTGGTCAGTTCAAAGGTGACACGAACACGACAGGAAAAAAAAATAAAAAAGAAAAAGAGAAAGAAAGGGGAAAAAAAGGAAAGAAAGAGCCAGCACCAGCGCTGTATGCATGTATCCTAACGGTCCCTCCCCGTGCAGCGCAGAGACGCGGGCGGACGGGCGGCAGGGAAGGAAGGAGACAGAACCGGGAGGCGGCCGGAGCCAGTGGACGCGGAGGCGAGCGCGGGCGCCGGGGAGCGGGAGGTCCAGGCCCACCGCCCCCGGACCCTGCACCGAGCGCCGCGGACACCGGAAGCCAGGCAAGTAACGCAGGGGTTGTGGTTTCTTTTCAACTCGGGGTCGACGAGGCGGGCCTGGGCTCCAGTGGCCTGGGCAGGCCGGGGCCGGCGTCCAGGCAGCCGGGGCGGGACGCGGAGAACTTCCCGCGGGGCCTGCCCCGGAGCCGCCCTGGCCGGGCCGCCGCCCCGCTGCGCGGAGGCACGGAGAGCGCCCGCGGAGCCGAGGATCGTGCCGCCGAGCGTTAGTCCGAATTCAAAGCAGAATTCTCTACCCATCCTACCCCCCCCCTCCCCCGCCATACACACAGGGAAGCCGCTACGGGGCCTCCAGCTCGGGGGCTGGTCCTGGCGAGCCCGGCCCCGGCCGCCCACCTGCGGGCGCCTTGGGGAGCGGGATCCCCTTGCGCAGTGCGATCGATGGCGGCCTGTGTGATGCGGGCGATAGTGTCGGGAATGAAAGGGGCCGCGGAGCCGTTTTCTCCGGCAGAGAGAGCGCCGGGTCCGCAGCCTCCAGCCCCCATTCCCGCCGGGCTCCCGGCCCGCGGCTGGAGGGCTGAGGGTGCGGAGGGGTCACCGCCCGGGGTGGGAGGGGACGAGGGGGCGTGTGTGGAATGCGGAGCCTGAATTAAAACCAGCGACGGCGCTCCCCCTGCGCGGGCCGGGGCGCGCGTCTGCGTCAGAGGGCGCGGGGCGGGGCGGGGCGGGGGCCGCGGAGCCGTCCGGGGCGCGCCCGGGGCTCGGGGGGCGCGGGGATGGGCCGGGCTGGAACCGTGTGCCTCGTTCCGGCCTAGCCGGCTGCAGTGGGGAGGGGGAGGGGAGGCAGGGGGCGCGAGGATTGGCGAAAGAATGGGCTGAAACTCGCCGGGAACGGCGGCGCCCACTCCTGCTCGCGGCGGGCTCTTCCTGCCTGCCCCCAAGCTGAGCTTCCAAGTTTGGAAGAGACCCCTGGAGTCCCCCGGGGGATGGGGGGCTGCGGGCCCTCGCTCCTCCCGAGAGGGAGGGAGGGAGGGGTGCAGCCCCCAGCCCCTGCCCAGGAGGGTGGCTGCTGCTGGTGGTGGTGCGCGGAGCAGGGGAAGCCCTGGGCTTTCGATCAGGAAACAAATGCACCAACTTTGTCTCGATGGGGTGGTGGTGGGGGGGGGGAGGGGCCAGGAAGAAACCTAAACTTTTCGAGGAGAGGCGCCATCCCCTTCTGGGACTTACCCAGCCCTGGTGGCACCCAGGCCTCGGTTTCTCTCCCTGACCACGTTTTCACACCCTCAGAGCGCCTCCCCTGGTGCTCACAGCTTCCCCAGCAAAATGGCTTCTGTGGAGGGGCTGAGGGTCCTGTCCTGGGGACTCTGGGGGAGCTCTGGCCTGCGTTTGTCACTGGCTCAGCTTGGCACACTGGACCTAGAACCCGGGTGATACTCTTGTTTGGGAGGGCACCTAATGGAAAAGTGATCATATTTTGTGGGAGCACGGAGGTCCCCAGGTCGTGCATTTCCACACACGTGTCCAGGCACCCTCAGGTGCAGAAGCAGAAAACGCAGTTGCAAATTTCCTCCCATTTTTCACTCGTCCTCTCTTCTCCAGATCTCTCTCCCTACCTTCTCGCACAAGCGAGAGCTTTAACATAACCTTAGCCTGTGGACTTGGCTGTTGGACTCAGGCCAGCTGTGGGGTAGGGGCAGGGGCAGGGGCAGGGGCAGGGGCAGCACCCTACTTGAAACCACCAGCCCCTTGGCCCCATCTCCTTGGCCTTCTTCAAGGCTTCTAGTGAGGCCGGTCTAGGGATCAGAAAAGCCTCCCAGGACCTGGACTCCTGGGCCTCCCTCCTTAAGTCTCTCCCTGCCTTCCTGTTTCCTACCAGCTACTTCAATGCACACAGAGTCTGCAGTGTGGTTCTCCCAACAGATGAAGAGAAGGAATCAGGCTGTAAACTTAACACTGCCCTTTTCAGACTGCGAGCATCATGGCCTAGTCTTAATCACCTTTTAAAAAGGACTTCCACACAATCCCTGATCTCTCCTAGCCAGACTGCCAGTACACAGTTGTGACCTGGTGGGAGGAGGGGAGCAGAGATCTCGGCATTGACTTGCATGCCAGGCCCCAGAGTCTGATCTAAGCAGACTTTCCAACTGATTAATACCCCCTCCCCAATAGCTTTCTTCTGAGGAATGCTGAATCATTCTTCACTAATCCCATGACATCTTTGATAGTGGTATTTTGCTTTCCCGAAACTCACTGGATCATTCATTTTGGCTTTTTGGCAAATCACACTGAACAAAGGTGTCCTTGTAAAAATGTTTTCAAAATCTAGTTCAAGAGCCCTGAGATCCTACAAATGACCAGATGTGTGTAAAAGATTCTCTCCCATACCTCTTCCCTACCCTCTAAATAATTAAAAAATGGTATTATTCTGTTTAGAGAGACCACAGAACAGAAATAGCCCTGTTTTATGAAGCCCATCTGGAGAGATGAACAAGCCTGCAATCGTTGGGAGAAAGGTCAGTTCTTCTGATCTTATTACAGACCTTTCCCAAAGAGCTTATTTTAAAGGTGCCTAATCAATTAGTCTCCGTCGGCATGAGATTAATGCTGGGAAGGATGCAGTGGAAGATGTATTTAATGTGCTCTTGCGGAGATACTTTGAAGAAAACGGAGGAGAGAAACCCACTGGAATGCCTGCCTCATGTTTTGTGCTTATTAAAAACAACAAAAACAAACAAACAAAAGCCTGGCCTATGTCGGAAATCCCTTCCCAAAAGGTTGAATTCCTCTGTGTTGTAGCATCCCAAGTGTAAAAAGTTCTGTCTTTGACAACCTGAAAACAAGGTGGGAAGGCCAAGTTGGGAGTGGGCAGTCCTGCCTGCTCTTGCCCTGTTCATAGAGTTGAGCAATGGATTTAGCAGACTGCTGTACTCACTAGCACTCGGCAGACTGGGCATTTCTTCTTTGTCACCTTTGGGGCGAAACACTGAGAGATAACTGTTTTACTTTAGAAGCGGTTTAGTTTTCCATCACAAACTGGCCATGTAAAGCATGGGTTTTGGAAAACAGAGATAAGCGAAGTTCTTTCCCTTTCTGCTAAGACCCCAAGTTAAAGGGCCCCTGTGTAGCCACAGAAGAGCAAGTGATGACCTTTGGATGCAAAACAAGTTTTTTGTAGGAAGAAAAGTGGCAATCAATCAGTGAAAGGGGTAGGTGTGTGCGTGCTCGCGAAAATTTTACTTTTTGTAAAAATCAAGTCTTAGCGAGATAAATGCATTTCTACAAAAAAGAAAATGGAGAAGTTTATGTTACAAAATGCATTTTAAATGCCAGACTTGAGTGAAGACTGAGTGTAAGGCTCTACTTCCCAGAGAAAATGGGTTGGATTTGGATGGAAAGTTTTGGTTTTAAAAGGAGTTTGGCGTTTATTAAAGTACCCTGACAATACAGTCAACTAAACTATATTATCATTTTTCTTAATAATCACCTGTCAGGACACAGATTTCTTTTATTATAGGATTAGCCCATCAGAAGTAGATTTGAATTGGACATTCATTGATTAAGGACCTCTCAAGTATGTTTAACTTTTTAAAGTCTTCACTGCCCACAAACTAAACTGGTGGGAAAGTACTGGCTCACAAAGGCAGCGGATCTGCTGGTAACTATTGTCATGCTTCACTGGTACCCACCTCTCATAAAGTTGATCTAAATAATAACCCTAACCTTTCCTTCTAAACTGTCAGTGGAAAGATATGTTTATTACAGTGTCCTCCATCAGTCTCCATCAGGAAGGAGAGAGGGGATTTAAGTAAAGTTTAGATGAAAAAGAATGAGCGTAGCACACCACTGATACAAACCACATGGGGCAGTAAATAATTATGCCCTCTGTTATGCCATGTATATTTTATTTACCCATTTCAGAAGTGGATAATAAACCTCGCCCATCTATGGGAGGAGTTAATAAGGTATTTCAAATGCATGATCTAACAAAACTCTAGGATAGTTCTATGTTTTATTGTTAACCGTTTGCATGAAATCTTCTGAAGCTGAAAAGAGAAAGGAAAGGGCCTTTGTGTGTGTTGATCCTCGCCTAGTCTAGGGCTAAGGTTGGTGTGAAAGGGACAAGGAGGTCACTTGAAATCTCCTTTTATCTACTCGTATTTTCTCTCTGGATCAGCAACTTTGAATAGATATCTTCTAATCGCTCTTAATGGAAAAAAACTATGGGAGCAACGAAAGAAACTGCCTTTAGAAGTGGATACACATGTGGACAGCTAGCTAAGTTTGCATATGACTACATCTTTACACACATGTGCTTAGAGTTTTCTGGAGTGCATGATGTAAATGTTTCCCACACATTTGGTGGGTTATGGATTGGGTGGGTCCTATTTGCCCTAATACTGAAGTATGCACGCACACCCACATTAGGATTCTCTATCAGGTCTAGGTGATTCTTTCAGCTGGTTCACCCTTCAGCTTTTTCTTGCCCTCACTCTCTGGGATGTCATATGTAAGTTCTAGAAAAAGAGCAAATAATTGAGAACACTATGGACAGTTTTTTGTTTTGTTTTGTTTTGTTTTTTAAGTAAAGACATCTTATTTCAACTGGAAGCCACACTGACAGGAGGATTTCTCTTCAAGGGCAGAGATTGTGTGACAGGTGGGAGGTGATGGGGTAAGATGAGACTATTACTTTCAATCTCTCCCCCATATTTTTTCTTTTTGGTCTTTCATGGAATCAAATTGGTTAGAACACAATAAATGGCAAACAAGAGGCTGACCTTAACGCAGTTGAGGTTTTTTTTTTTTTTTTTTTTTTTTTTTTTTTTTTGTGTGTGTGTGTGTGTGTGTGTGTGCTATAGGTTAGTATCTTCAAATATTTGAAGCTGAGCAAATTGATTATAATTGGTTTTGAAATTGGAATTATTTTAGTAATTCTATGCTGACTGAAATACTACCTAAGTTGTCTTCTTTAGGTGGTGTTGCATTCGTATGTGCTTCAGAAAACAGAAACAGGTCTCATGTTGTTAAATATGAGTGGCCATCCAGAAAAAGGACATTAGATTTCTAGGACTGAAAGCACTTGGCTTTAGCTCCTAAGAAGTCTCTCCCTGCCCCCAAACCCCATGTTCTTCCAACTAAAATTCGAATTGCTCCCAGAGCCTGGGACACTTAGCTGTGAATTCTTTTAAGGGAATGCTCTGTTACCAGGGCTACAAGTTCCCATCTCAACCTGCCAGCCTTCCGGCCCCCTGCTGCAGACCTCGGAGACCCTGGGCTGTCTGGGCTGGGACCTTGAGCCCCCTCTGCTCCTACCCTGGCCTATCAGAAATCTCAGCGACAGAGTCCGAGGCTGGGTGGGAGAGGATTAACCCCTCTCCCTCCCTCCCTCCTTTCTGAACACCAACAGATCATTTCCCGGGTTTCCTGGTGAATAGGAGTGTAGGAGCCACCCTGTCCAATAAAGATTAAATTAAGTAGAAGAATCTCAGCCACTGGATGCTTGGAAGCTCTGATGGGGCATCAAACCAACGTTTAACACATTTTTTCCACTCACTGGCGCAAATCTTGGACCTATTGGGCTTAACTTTAGACAAGAAAGAAAGAAAAGAAAAAAAGATAAGGAAGGGAAAAGGGGAAAATGAAAAAGGAAAAAAAGTCACAGAGAAACTCCAGCTTCAAGGGAAGCAGTGACCTTGTACTCAGAGAGAGAGAGGATGAAGGCAAAAGCAGGGCTTCCTGCCCTATCTAGTCTTTTCTTTCTACTACAAGGATTGGAGGCTCCCTCTCCCAGCTGAGGGCTTGGAGCTTGGCAGTTTGGGCTGGATTTTGAATCTGTGTTTGCCCGTTAGAGATGGAGGTACATATGGCTTGGGGTCAGAATTGGATGCCTAGGAGGAAAGGTGCATGCAGAACCCAGTCAGCTCTTCTACGCTGACTTCCTTTTTTTTTTTTTTTTTTTTTTTAAAAAAAAAAAACACACACTAGGGTTTTGGTTTTGGGAACTGAAGAGTTTCCTTTAGTTACTGCCCAGCAGGAGAAACAATGGCTTTCTCTGTCAGCTGGTTCAGGGCGCTGGACACTGACCTTGAGGCCGAGGCAGGGTCAGGCACTTCCTCCCCTGGGAACCGGCCCAGCCCCCGAATATTGGCCTTTGGCTCCCACCGGCTCCCCTAGTCCCCCTGGCGCAGTCCGGAGGGGCAAAAGGCAAGTCCCTCTGTGGCAATAGCTTCTCCACGCAAACACAACACTGAATAAATTAACCTCAAACCAGCTAGTTGGGGTGTAGTAGTTTAGCAGGACTAATTGCAGACAATGGAGCTGAAATGACTTTTCCAATTAGCTGCTGGTTGGAGTTTAGTTGGAGAAACTGTCAGCTCCAACGATGGGTAATTGCTTTATTGCTCACAAAACTATCATCTATTTAGAACATATGTGCTAATTACTCTGGATGGGCCTCGGAAAAAAGAGACCATAAATCTAATAGCACTTAAAAAAGTCTACGGTGCTTGTAAGCAACCCCAGGCCCTCACACACGCTCTTCTGCCCAGGTTGGCGTGATGGATGGCTGTCTCTCAGAGAGGAGACGGTTTGGGCCGGAGGCACTGACGGGGATGCTCTGGTCAAATCGCTTGTGCAGGAGAGAGCGACCAGCACACGCTGTGCCCAGGCCATACATCACTGTCATCCAAACCAGTCCCCTCTTTAGCCATGCACCCCGCCACGCGCCCCCCCCCCCATTTTTGCAAAAAGATTATTTCAGAAATCTTTTAATTGGATTATGCTAGGAAATTAATCCCCGTTAGCCGTGGCTAAATTTGTGGCTACTGTCCGGAGGAAAGTGGCAACAGCTCTAAGCACATGTGGGTAGAGATGGAGTCCTATGCACACTTCGCTAGCTGTCCACACACTTGCCTCCACTGCACGGTCGCTGCAGTGAGGCCACATCTTCTTGCTCCTTTCCCCTCAGCCCCCAGATTTCCCATCGTGGGCCGCAGCCCCGGCCCAAGACCCCAGGAGTGACTGGGGGTGAGAAAGGGTGGAAAGACTCATCTGGGCGAAAGGCCGCGGCAGCCCCGATGAATCCCCCTTTGTTTAAAAGCCACGTTTCTGCCCCGGATTCCCTAGCTCTCAATGGAGCATACCCACAGCACCCCGCCTCCCTCCCCAGGGGGTTCTGGGGCCGGTGCGGAAAAGGAGGAGGCCGGTCTGCGGCGGGAGGAGGAAGGAGGGTGTGTCGGCAGAGGCAGCCGGATTAATTCTCCACTGTGCCCTCTCCCTCCTCCCTCCCCCCGTTTCTGCGCAAAAGCGCCCGGTTCGGCCCCCCCCCCCCCCGCGTTCTCCCCGCACAACTTTGGAGACACTGTCCCCGGACAGGCACCGCGCTTGAGGTCTGAGATCCCTGTCCCGGCGTCGGTGCCAGCCCCGCGGCTCCGGGTCCGAGCTTGGCCCAGCGCCGCTCGCTCGAGCGGGTGGGGAAGCTGCAGTGGGCCGGGTCCCACGGGCTGCTTATCTCAGCGGGAGGTGACAACATCTGCCTGAAACGGGATCTCTACTTGTGCAGCTCAATTGAGCTCTTAATAGCAGCCCTCTGAGGTGTGGTTAATTGATGGGGATAAAGGCATAATGACTTGACGGGGGAGACGCCAGCGATCCTTTGATATACTTTTTAAAAGGACACCAAACCACCCCAAACACTGGCCAGTGGTCGCTGGGTGGGAGGGAGGGAGGAGGATCTGGAGGCAGGAAAAGTGGCGCTGGCGCTGCTTTTATCGGGAGGGGCGAGCCCGGCTCCCTGGCCGGGCACCTGCCCACAGCCAGGCGCGGTGGTCACAGAGGGTTGGGGTGACAGGTGACAAGTGACAGGACTGGAAAGCGGGGAGGATGCTGGAGCCAGTGAGATCGCAGCCCTTCCCAGGCTCGGTCACTCAGCAGCCCTGGCCCTGCGCGGGGCTGGGTCCTCTGCTGCCCTCCCCTCCTCACCCAGTGACAGCGCAGGGGTGCAGGGGCCGTGCTGGGCGGCAGCGCGGGCTCCGCTGAATGGGCCTCCTCAGAGGCATGTGTGTGTGTGTGTGTCCCTGACACACGCAGCCTGAGCCCAGCAGCCCCTGAGCACGTGGCCCTGTTCTGCCGGCCAGCCCAGAGTTGTCCTGAGATTTCCCCCGAGCTGGAACGGGCGTCATCGCGGGTCAGAGTAGCCCTGTGCACCCCCCTCATCCCTCCATCCCCCCAGATTTCCTTCCGTCCACCACTTCTCAGCACCAGCCTTTCCGTGTGCCTGATTTCCCTTCACTCGGGTCTAGTTTCGCTCCAGGGTGTCCCCACGGCTCCAGCCTCCAGCCCAGGACCGCACAAGCTCTCAGCAGAACACTGTATCCAATCGCCTTTTCTATTGGCAAAGGGGAGCCCCCTCGGGGTCCAGGCCGAGGTCCCCCCCCTCCCCCTGCAGGTATCCTGTTTACACCTTGGAGAGGGAAATCCTGATGCTCCAGGTCTGAGCTCCCCCTGGAAACGGAGGGAGAAATGATTCCAACCACGTCCACACTCTGTGGTTTTGGGAATTCGCAGGTGTTTCGGCTGCTGTTGTTCTTTGCCCCCCTCCATGGCCCCACACAACAGGGATCAGATTCCCAAGGAACTTAATTTCCCCAAACCCTCCTGTAGAGAAGGTGCACGTTGTCACCCTACGACGCTTTGGGGTCAAACTTGCAAGAGATGCCTTCCTCCTCATCTAGCACCATTCCGCCCTCTGCGAGGTCAAGGGGATGGGGACTCACTGTCGTTGAGCCAGGGAGCCCCCGTGACCCCCCGCAGCCCCACCCACGGAGGACTGCGTGTCCTTGGGCTTGTCCTCAGGCACCTCAGAGTCAGGGCCAGGGTCCGGGGCCAGGTCCCTTCCTCGGTCAGCGGCTCCCGCCGAGAAGAAGCCCGTGACCTGGTGGCGAGTACCGCGGCAGCCACCCGTCCCGCCTAAGCGCTGGGATCGGCGTGGGCCGGGCCGCAGGGGCCCGCAGGGGCCGAGGGGGTGCGGGGGCACCGTCCCTCCCGCAGCCAGGACCCTGCTCCGCGTGGCTCCTCACGTCCTCACCCCGCAGGGCGCTCCCTTTGGGAGATCAGCGCGCTGAGCACCAGGCCGCCTGGGGAGGGCCCAGGAGCCTCCCTTCCTGCCCCGGAGGCCCGGGAGCTGGACCCTGCGCTGAATGACCCCGCCAGCAGGAGCGGCTCCCCAAGCCAGGCGCATCCTGCGCGGAGCCTCGCCTGCGGGCACGGGAGGGACCTGGTCGGACAGCAGGAGCCGCGCCCTGGCCGGCGCTGAGCGCCCTCAGTGCCCAAGTCCCAGGCCTGCTCCGGGGAAGATCCCAGGAGGAGGCCAGGCCCCACGGGGTGGGGCTGCTGGTGGAGCAGGCAAACCTTTTAGGAATGGGCCCCAGGGGAGTGTAAGGCAGCCTCTGCACGAGGAGGTGAGGTTCAGGGACCCCGTGGATGGAGAGCCCTTGGCTCGCCCTCCTTTCTCCTGCCAGAGCCGCTGTGCCTCCCGCGCCCCCGGGGCTGCTCCCAGTGGCCAGGCCCGGGGCGCAGCTGGGGTCGGTGGCCAGGCCCCCGGGCGCAGCTGGGAAACCTTAAACCCGGTTGTATAATGTGAGCGGGAGCTTGCTCAGTGGGAGGGGACGGTGGCCTTAGGCATTTTCTAAAACATCCATCTACAAAGCGGGGATCAGCACAGAGACACTGCTGTGTAGTTCATCTAAAAAGAGTTTTGGAGAAGCGTTTTCCTAGAGATTGCTTTGTCATCCCTCACATTGGAAAGCCGGTATGTGTCTCAGCAGCAGCACACTGAACCGTGTCTTCCTTCAGACAGGGAATGAGCAGCGGAAGCGCCGCCAGCCTCCAGCCAAACTCGCGAGGAGGACGGATGGCAGGGGGACCGGTGCTCCAGATGTTGCACTGGAGGCGCTGCAAGTGTGAGCAGGTAATGTGGAGGAGAGTGACATTGTTAACAGAAAGCATCTAATTAACAATGACTTCATTTGATTGGGAGGATGAAAAAACCTTTTTAAATCAATCCAGATTCACTGGCCTAAGCTCAGCCAATTTATGAATATGGAGCCTGACTGGGGTCTGCTTTCTTTCAAAGATGTCATCTTAGGGGTAATAGCATAGGTGAAGTCATTTGGTTACACTGTGGAAACTTTTATAGTGCCTTCCTTGGGAATTTAATTCAGTGCTTCTTCATTTTATTAGGAACAGACTGACTCCATCAACTGCGCTCTCCCTGTTTAGAGGCAGGACTGCTTGAAGCAATTAGGCTCAGCAATTAGCATAGTTTTACTGACCCCAGCAGCAGTGCACTTCTTAGGTTATCCGTTTCTTCAAAGTCGGGAAAAGCTGGAGCACAACGTGCTTCCCAGGTGCCCAGGTTGGGGGAATAAGCCCACAAGCAGGGTAGCACAGCAGCGCAAAAAGCTTCCTAATAGTCCTCAAGAGTTTGTTTCAGCAGATTCAGGTGGATCCCACTCCCTCTAACCCCCTGATTTTGATTCTGCATCACATAATACCTCCTTCCTTTGAGATAGCCTTTAAAGCCTCTCTCCTTTGGTTGTATTTTTAGCAGGATGGCTTTTGAGAAAGTGAATTTTCTCCCTTCTTTTCTGTCTGCATCCATGATGCTGTGGATAACGTTTTGAAGGAGTACCTGCAAGACGTTGCTGTAGTCCTTTCCCTGTCACCTCAGTCTGTTGGTAGCCAAGGCCTTAGAAAATGTTTGGAGCCCAAAGCAGTCTGGGAAAGAAGGGACACTGCTTTAGCCACTGTCCTGGGCAATGAAGGGATTACATTTACATAGCTGTTTAGTGTCTCTCACTCCTCTAAAATATATATTCCTCTGCAAGATTTTGCCAGATTAAATCGCTGACAGTTCATCAGTAGCAGCAACAATGTAATACCCCTAACCTTATTAAATCAATAAATACTAGATCCATGCATTGAATTAAAAATACATCAGCGAAGCCAGGAATTACAATCATATGGCATGAGCCTCAGAATCAAAGATGCCACTCAAAAATTGACTAGTTAGCATTTACTTAACCTTCTTTTTCTGTTTTGGGTTGATGATTAGATATTTGGTACCGTTGTGACAAGTTTTGCTCGTTTATTTCTTGAAAATCCTTTCCTTTTACTAATTCCTCATATTTAACCATGAAAATGATGTATGTATTTAACAGTAGTAATATACTTTGACTTTATAGTTTTTCTTATTAGTTTTCATCTAGGGAATATACTTCCATTCAGAATGCATTACTCTAGTAAAACATGCTCAGGTGCATACATTTCTACATAAGCACCAATAAATTTAGCTGCATATGTTTTTGTATATGCATAAATAAATATACTCAGTGTGAATGTATGGCTATACATTGATTATAAGTTTATATATATAAAAAAGAAACCACATTTAAATTTATCTTTCGGCACTGTCAACTATAATACAAGCCAAAGTACTATTTATGGTTTTAAAACAAGTTGTTGATTTAGAATCGGATTTGCTTATTGAAATTTGTTCCACAAGAGAAGAAATTAAAATTTTCAAGTCTTTAAACTTAACACAGTACTTAGGAAGTTGTACACATCTTAAGTAGTTACATTTTATGTGTAAAAAAAAAATATACCTCAAATATGGTTTACCAAGAATTGGTCAGTTCAGTTAAATTGTAGCTTATTATGTAAATTTACAATTAGTCCCTACTGAAAATCGGGAATGTAGTTAACACCTGGAACTTTAATGGAAAAAGTAATATTACTCTAGCCAGATATTTGTTCATACTGATTAATGACGCTAATTATTTATAAACATTCATCCCTATTGATGTCAGCAAGCATATATGGTACTGAATTCTGAAGATAGAGTCACTGGGCCCTGGGTTCCCCACACTGTGAAAGAAAAAAAAATCTTTATTTGACAAAATAGGCAATCAACTGAAATCTATCCTCTTTAAATAAACTGATTCCTCAGTATTTTCCCAGTATTGGTGTAAGTTGTTGTCTGTGATGTCCCCAGGGCTCCGTCCTCTGCTCTCTGATTTGGTATATAAAAGCAGCTCTGAATGATGGATTACTGTGTCATTGCAGCCTACGAAGGATTAATTTGTTTCATTGATTTCTCTTTAGGCAGATTGCCAGAATTTGCTGCTTCCCACCTTTCCTTAAGACTTCTAGAAGTAGTAGACAGTAATAGCCTAAGACAAATCAGCTTCTTCTCTTAAAAATACAATCATGAAACTAGGGGTCCTACAAAAGCTGTGTGTGTCAAGCTTTTTATTGGCAAACTGGGAGAGCAATTAATAGGGTACTTTATTTGCTTTAGAAATATTTTTAATTGAAAAATTTCCTTGACATGTTGACTAAAAACACATTATGTTAATAGCTCTTATGTAAACATTTATAATGTTTATCTTATAAAAATTTTCCCTATTTTGTAAGGATCTTGTTTAACTCAGGATAAAAAAAAAATGTGTTGTCTATGTAATTGACAAATACTTTTCTTTCTATGCCAGATTTTAGGATCAAATAACATATCAATGTAACTTAAATTAATTTACCTAAAATATTTATGACTATTTGACCCAAAGAATCTTCAGAAACTTTGGACAAGGACAGAGAGTATTAGAGCATAGAAATAGAATTGTTTAATTGTTTAAAGAAAAAATAACTTTTCTAATTGAAAAGTGGTGTCTGCTCATATTAGAGAATTTTCACAAGTTAAAAATGACATTTTGTGTATTTTCTCTTAAGCTTTTTTCCTCCAAGCACTTATATGTTTTATTTATATTATATTTATAAAAATATGTAGAAATCACTTCATATTCTGCTTTTTTCAGTTTATGTAGTAGAATAAATTTTTTTTATATAAGTAAAATTATTATTAAAGACATTTATATTGACGGTATAATGTTTTAACATATATAACTTAATTAATTGTCATTATACCACTGGAGAGTTAGATTTTAATTTTCCATTATAAATAAAGTTATGATGAATAACATTTTAAATAAATCTTTAATCATTCCTGTGATTATTTTCTTATGTTATTAGAATAGAAATTACTTGGACTGAGGTATAGACTGTATTTTAAGGTTTTTAATATTGATTGCCAAATTATTTTCTGGAAAGGTTCTTTCACTTTATACCACTACTGTTTTAAAAAAGTTTCTCTGTAAAGGCAGCATTCCAATTCATGTTACATGAGCAAATAAAACAGAACAACAATCTTTTCCTTGTGTTCTGAAAGCAGTGGTAGTATTTTGCATATACTTAATTTCTCAGAAGTATTTTCCCAACTGCAGATGTGAAATAGGCTGGTTATACAAATCTATTTGTTTCCCTTCTGTAGTGCTGAAAATTATATTGATTTAATGATCTCAAGTTATACTTTTTATGCAATTAGTTGTGTAGTAAAAACTAATATTGTCATGTGCTAATGTCTTTTTTCCTCTATTGTGCTGTGGTAGTAGTCCATGCAGTATCAGCAAGTTTATGCTTTTCCTGTGCTTTGCTGAGAGGAAAAAGGAACATCTGTTTCCATTATATATCTGCATCATAATGATAACAATTAAATAGCTATTATGTTAGTATACAGTAAATATATTTTGCTGAATGACCTATACTTTCTTGTTGGAAAATTTTAGAGATTTTAGAAGCAGTTAGTTTTACAGGTAATTTCGTGTAGAGGTTTGGAAAAGTGTTTGCTTACTTTAGGAAAATCATTGCAGTTTCTTTTTGTCTCAGTAAAAACAAACAAACAACCTGATGATTGAGTACTAGGCTCTCAGATGTGACTCTTAAATATATTTCCCTTAGACATGTTTAGAGTACCGACTATTGTTGTTTTTCTCAATATATATATATTTTAACATTTTGAAATTATTGATTTGAGAGGGAGAGAGAGAAAAGATAAATATCAACTCATTGTCCCACTTATTTATGCACTTGTTGGTTGATCCTTATGTATGCCCTGACCCGGGATTGAACCCACAACCTTGATATATCCGGATGACTCTCTAACCAACTGAACTATATGGCCAGGCCTCTCTCAATATTCTTAAATGGGTAATAATGATAGTAAGAATACAGTTTATTTTGTGTTTTGTGCCACTTATGTTCTGTTGGTATTTTACTAAACTGGAAGATTGTGTGTGTGTGTGTGTGTGTGTGTGTGTGTGTGTATTTATTTACAGCCTATTTCACTTTCTTTTCCTTATTTAGGGGGACACAATGATATTTACCTCACAAACTCAGCAGAAGAATATTTGAAACCATATACTATTTCTATTGACCTTTAAATTTTCAGAGAAATGTTTTGGTTAAAGATGTTTTGGTGGTTACTTAAAAAAAATGATTAGAAACTATTTCAAACAAACAAAAAAATCATACATATAATTCCCTGTACTCCAAACTCAATTTGAGAAATAAAATGTTACCAGAACAATTGAAGCTCTTCCTAAAAAGATAACCATCCTAAATTTTATTATTTTAATCATTTTTGCCTTTAAGTACCTCTTTTGACATGATATAGAATTTTGACCTAAGTGAACTCTCCTTTTAAATGACTGGATATGTTCCTCTGCTTTATTGCCCTCATCTGTGAAGTCGGGGATAGGTCTACATGTTTTCTGCTGGCCTCCTGGCCATAATTACAAAAAGTTTTTTGATTACCTTCTTGTTTTCCATATGAAACAAAATAAAACAAAACAAACATAAGATAGAGGCCCAGAGAAGTTAACTAACTTGCCTGAAACAGAATAGTAAATCCCAAAGCTGGTTATACTGGTAAAACTTAGATCCCCCGACTTCCATTCAAGCACTCTTTTCTTTAGTTGACGTTGTCAGCTTTTGAGTACCAGCTGACTGACCACTGCCCTGGATTATCCACAGGCTTGTGTGATTTTGGGATTGTGCATGCAGGAAAGATTTTTC